CTCTCCCACAGAACACTGCAGAAAACTAATCCACCCTAACTTGGAAACCCCTTTAGGAAAAGGAACAAGTTCCAAGGCAGTGAGTTACGCTACTTGAGCTCACAATTGCACGGATTACTCATCCTGACACTCGTGAGTACAAAATGGGCACATACATTTGTGCAAGGGAGATGGAATAAGGCATGGGAAAGATATAAATAGGATATGATCTGCTTTTAGCATACATCCTGCCAGTAACTGCTTTATTGGTTCTACTCCTCTCAGTAATTTTCAACATCAGTAGGTCGAATTCCAGAGCAGTGTTTCAATTATATTCTGGTGAATGATATGATAAATCTGGGAGCCTCCTCTGGAAGAAAGTTAAAAATCATATCAACTATGAGCTTTTTCTAAATGTATTTAGATACATATCTGGATTTGATGCTATCTGTGTTCATGTCAATGGTAGATTGATTTTATTGCAGAATGTGTTACTCTGAAACAACATTATTTCACAGCCACTGAGTGGTACCAGAGTGGTCTTTGCTTTGCTGCAGTTAAATGGTGGTGATGGTGCAGTGATGGACATGAACACAGCAACAGAACAAAGGAACATGTAATTCATCCAGAGTGTAATGAATGCCTGAGAATTTGACAGTAACAATTGGAGAGTCACCAGGGAAGCTTGGCACGGCGAAGTGCGGTGAATCAGGATGATCAAATGATTTTATTAGTTTGCTTTTATTAGTCAGATCTATTTTCATTTCTTTAATATGACCAGGGAAAAAAGAAGTAATTGTAATCAGTTTATCAAATACAACCCTGGCAGAGAGTATGCCACTGGTAACTGGATTTTGTTCTAACTGAACACACTATGTTTTGACTAATCTTCAGCATCCAGGATCATTTCTCTTAAAATGTCAGGAAGATGAGTCAGAGTAATAGTTTATTTGTTTTGTTTTGGTGTTATATTTAAAGTAAGCTCCAAATATGCTTCAGAGCTGGCCTCATTGTTTCCAGCAGACATGGGACAGATAAAGCTTAGAAAACTGAAAAATATCTCAATTTCTCTTCAGACCACCAGCTGAGAGTCTATCATGGGCAGTCACAATCTAAGCTTTGCCAGTGCCCCTGCCCTATCCCCCTGCCACATGAACTTCACCTAAAATAATCACATACTCAGTGGGAGAGTGGGGATGCTGTAACTGTGAGAGCTAATGCCCAAGGCTCCCCCAAGCAGTGATGAGCAATTATCATAAACTATTCCAAATTACAGACTGAAGGCACAGTGATGGAGACTTTTGTAGACTGGACTGAGACAATTACCAAATGAAGGAAAATATTATTATTTTAGGAAATGTAACATTTTAATACATTGTGAAAAATGATGAGGGAATAATAAATGGAGGGCATAAAAAGAGCTAATAATAAAAAGGAGCTTGGTGAGAAATCCCGCTGTCATATTTGCATTTACCCTGAAACTAATGCCGTGCACATTTTTGAATGCAAATAATTCACATGAGGAAGCAAAATGAGGATGTTAATAATCATTTTTCCCTTAATGAGAAGCTGTACTTTGATTGAAAGGAGCTTTAAGGTGGCCTAAACTAGGCCTAACAAAGAAGCTTTTGTGAGAGGTTTTTTTTTTGAGACTTTAAAGGAATGAGTTAGAATAATATTCTGTCACTTAAAATCCCCAGCATTAACATTGTTATCACAAATCTTATTCCAAATTAAAAAAGACGTGTTAGGAAAATTATTCATTCCATATGGGATTTTCTTTTTCACTGTGGCTATTAACTTAAAATGCTTTTTCTTTTGGGATCAGCTTAAGTTTTTAGGTTCCTTTTCTTTTTTTTTTTTCCTTTTCTTTTTATTCCCATTCACAAAATAGATTGTTGTATTGGCTCCTTATCTCAGGACTTCCACACCAAGGTTCTGGGGTTGCCTTCCTCTTTCTTTTACCTGGTGAAAGCTCGTTAGTCCCAACTGGCTTAAATGGAAACTGGTCTCCTGAAAAAGTGGCCTTCTGAATTGATTGGATTCTTCATCTTGTTAGTGCTGCAGAGAAACAGTCATGAATTTCGTATGAAAGATTTCATGAACTGAAACTAGGTTCATTCAGGTTTGAAAACACCATTCCCAAACATCAGGAATATGGAAATGTTGGACTAGACTGAAGACACTTCACCACTGTTGGCCCTCACCTTTTATCCATTCGTGGCAAACCCCAAGTGGATATAATTCTATTAAGTTAAACACCCCTTCTGTTAAAAGGAGGTGAGCCAGACTGAATCATCCCTGCATGGCCTGAATCTTGTCCCTCTCCCCGACAGAGGAGGATGGGATCATTCTCCACGAGCCATCCCCAGGGCACCGAGGAGCCAATCAAACCTCCTTCCCTGTCACCCCATGGATGCTGGGACACAGTGCTTGTGTTTTCCATCAGGAATTCCTGCAAGCAGCATTTGACTTGGTTTTGTGTGTTTGTTTTCAGCAGGTATTTTGCAAACAGCCTGTGGGCTGTGTGTGCTCTGCTCTGCATGTGGTGTGTGACTGATGGCTGCTGTGCCGTGTGCTGCACTCGCTCTGTGGCTACACCTGTTCCAGCAAAGGAATGCAAGATGAATATGATGAAACAAATAATAGATAGGAGCAGTAGAAGAGTCCTGGTCTTCAAACTGCCCCACATGGGCTGCCTGCCCCAGGAGTCCTTCCTCATTTTTAGCTCACATGGTGTAGGGACCCGTAAGTCCCTCTGCACTACATCTGTGCAGGCAGCCACTCTAGTCCAGCCACCATTCTGTGTCAGGGAGACTTATGCACATTTTCAAGTATAAAAATCCTCTCCCAGTTCATATGAACGTTTAGATGGACTCCAGGAGGACAAGTAGAATGTGGCTCCCAAAATCAAAGTTGCCACTAGTAATTGTTCCCTGCAGTGGCCGTGGAGCTGCCGTGTGCATTCGCAGGGGGGAATTAATATTGCCTGTCATTAGGATGCACCATTTTTCTTATATTGCCCTTAATTGCTTTGATTTGATGCTTCTCATCACTCATGAGCTGGCAGTGGCAGGGCAGGATGGATGTGTTTGTGACTCAGGGATTGTTGTTTGACAGAATCAGTGTGTGAACTGAGCTGGGGAATGGCCTTGGCCCCTGCAAGGCCGAAACTAAGCAGGGACAAAGTTCAGGAAGTGAGATTAATTTTGTTCTGCATGCCAACCTTACACACTTAAGTAATTTTCTGTTACATGTTTATAGGTTTTTAAGACACTATGATACCTTCCACATTGGCTTGGTTAATTCTCCTGAACGATCCATGACAATAGATTGATGGTAATGATGACTACAGATTCTAACATATTTTTTGATTAAAGAAGCATTGCTTTGATTCTTTTCCCTGAGGTTTTATTCAGGCTCCTTATTAATGTTGCAGCACGATTGTGACTTCAGGTTGATCAGCCAACAGTTGTCATCTCTGATGGTGCCACACTGCCATTTTTCTCCTGTTGCGTGGCATTAACTCCACAAATATTCAGATTCAAATACACTCGGTTGGATTACTCAATTAAATCTCAGCCAACTTTGAGGATGGCTGATGATCAGTCTCGGGAACAGCTTCCCAATCATCTGAGCAGGCCCTTATTTAGGGCCTGATCCTGTGACAGCCAGTCTGTCCCGATCTCCGTGTGTGAGGTTTGTCCATGGGGTGGTTTGTGTGCACAAACAGGGCTGTAAAGCACTGCTTCACTGAGGCCTACACGGTGGAACTAATGAAATGAAATTATTTGTCCTCTTTTAGGGTCGTTGATATTTGTTTCTCTTAACAAGTATGTGTGATTTTTATGGGCTAGTTTCTGATTATGTGTTAGACTTGGAAAAATATTATTTCATGTGGCTCTGAAACTCTGCTCCGTAACTCTTTTCAGTCATATTTTCTTAATGGTGGTATAAGATTTCTTCTATTTGTGGAATGGCTTCCCTGGCATTTGACAGCTTTTACTTCAAGTTTAATAGGTTACAGGCTTAATAGTTTAATTAAACTTTCTAATGTGTGCTCACAATGCTGCATATATTGACTGAGTTTTTCATGCAAAAATATATAGAAAAATAAATCATTGTGCACAAGAAAGAGTAGTCTTTAAGTAGATACATAGATAAATAAACTATTCTGCCTGAAAAGAAAACCAAATGCAATTCCTCAATTTCATTTTGAGGAAAAAAAATGCACGTAGACACTATTTACCTTTTCTGAACAAAATTATTTGTAGCACACGCACTCAAATGATGAGACAATTATAGAATTTTATATATATATTTATATTTTCCTTATGCATATATGCTGTGTTATTGTAATTGAAATATTGGTGTTATAAAATATACCACAGAACTCTATATTGGCTGGTATTATATAAAGTTTTTAAAAAGTGGCTACAACAAGCCTTGGATTCCTACTGTAAAAAACCCCTGAAATTAATTTGAACCTCAAAAATTGCAATCAAAAGAGTTGTGTATGTGTTGATTATTTTGTTATCAGCCATGATTCACTGTCCTGTGGCATTGGAGTTTCTCTCACTCTGATTTATTGGCCTGGCTGTTCCTGTGCACAGGGACACCCCTGCCCTGCTTTCCCAAACTTTGTGTCAGGGAGCATTTTGGTGGAAATATGTCTAGGAATTTATCACACACGATACTTGTGTTTGGATTCCACTTTATGTCCTTTTCCACAACTTTTGACCTTTTATCTAGGCTATTTTTCTCTCTCTCTCACCCCCTGAGCTTTGTCCCCATAAGACTTGTGAAGTTTTATACTTTCAGATCTCCAACAAAGAATAACAGGGGAGACAGAAACAATTGGATGAAATGTCATGGATATAATCCAGTCCCACAGAACTCTGATTTATGTTTACTTACTCTTTAGTTTTCCAGTATATAAGACTTTTTACACTTCTTGCTTTACCTTCAGCAAGTGCTGAATAGATCCATGACATATTTGCTAATTGCAAATGTTGTTGCAGGTTATGCCACCTGAAAAGTGATAGAAGCTTTATATTCTGAGCCAAAAGCAAATGAGTGCAACGACCATGGGCACATCTGGGGCTGCTCCAAACTGGTATTTACAGTTTATAGTTTATTATTCATCCTCTGTGCTCCTCTGACACTGGCTGAAGAGCAGCTATCCTGTGTTTTCTAGGCATACTATATATTTATTTATGAAATTGTAGAACATGGTAGTATTTTTCCCTGAAAATGAGGATTTGCAAGTACTGAGGGCAATGGAGACGTTGATGAATCATTCTTTAAACCACATTGTCTGCCTTCATATGTATATATATATGTATGTATATACAGAACAAACAACAATCTGTTTTCTATTCATATAATGTATTGCTATATTTTAACTAATGTTAGACCTAAAATTCTTTCAGGCTAAAAATACCAAGAATATATTTTAAAAAAATAGACTTAATCAGCAAGCATTCCTGGGGCAGTCTCCTAGCTCACAAGTATTGTTTTTATGACTGTAAAAGCCAACAAAAACTGTCCTGACATCCCTAAGATTAAAGTTTTTGTCAAGAAAGGAATACTTTCAATGTATTAAAAAGAGTAATATATTTAGTTATGCTACATAAAGCTATAATGTTTTAGCATATACTCTACAGTGCATTTTCAGTCTTGGGCTTGGATTTCCCCCTTAGACAACCTTTTATCACGTTATATTAGGATTTTTGTTTTCCCCCTGACAGCTGTCATTAGCAGAGAAGTCCATGGGCTCATCAACAAGACAACAAGAGAAGAGACCACAGAGCTACAATTTTACTGGAGACCAGGAAAAGGAATTCCAGGCATCAGCTGCACTAGGGATGTTTCTCTTCCAGCACTGGAGGCTGAATTTAGAGAGGTACTGAAGTAGCTCCTGGGCCTTGTTTTGTCCCTGTGAGACACCAGGCTGAGCCCTTGGTCTGGATCCCTGTTGGGAGGGGTGGGAATCCCCCCTTTCCTGGTTCTTCTGGAGCTGTGGGATAAGGGGCGAGGCAGAGTCGCTGCTCCGGGGTGGGAGCTGTGGGGATTCTCTTGTTGTTCTTTGCACAGCAGGCACTGGGGCAATTGTTTATCAGGAAAGAAAAACCAGAGGGTTGAACAGAACTAAAGAGGAATTGCAGCATGTTTCAACAGTTTTCTCCCAGGCATTGTACCAGCTTTTGCTTTGCATACCTCTACCAGAATTAAACAGTGTTTTGAATTTAGCAACCTTTTGTATCCCTTATTTAATCCTGACTGGAGAATTATTAATAACATTAAATATTAGTCTTACTGTGTTAGCTAACTAGTAGATGGAAAAGACGTCTGAGAGGTTGTATTATTACCCTGACTGGAATAATTTCATATAGTTAAAAAGTACTAAACACGTATTAATATTAGAATCCTGCTAGTGGAGCTACCCAATGAAGAATAAGAATATACAATATAATACTAATTAAAATGAGATGCAAAAAGGATCTAATACTAATTGGTTTTATCTCTAAATTACTAAATAGTTATAGTCTAGAGAAACAAGAATCCTATTATTCCTAATTTATTCTGTAACAGATAACTGCAATGGTTTAGAGATAGACAGAGGAATTCAGTTTTAGGATTGGTAAATCCTTACTGGCATTTTGGATTAGCTGAGAGTTAGTAAATGCAGAAATGCAAGTGACTTGACCTAACAGAATTGAAGGTGTTTAATTTAAATAATGGGATGAATATCAGTGGATTTCGCTTGTTAGACCTCTCTATAAAGAGTGCTTGGAACAGACATATTAATGAAGACTGTAGATGTCAAATTAGAAATAAATTAAATTCCTTTGTTCATTAAAATTTATATTCTTTCCAGACTGCACAATAGACAGTATAATATGCATTTGGAGTAATTTGTTACTACTTTGAGTAGTATCGTTCTCAAAATCCCATTTGTTGATTACAGAAATTGTTTAATCTAATCTCTTAGGAGATCTTTTGACAACAGTATCTCACCAGTGATGCTGAAACTGAGCTGCAGGAACAGGGCTTGTTTGGGTTGTTTTTCATGGCTCTGTCATGCAGCTTCCTTTTATCTTTAGCAATTCTAGATTTCCTTGTTCTCTTTTTCTTTCCTGCCACCAGGAAGGGCCCTTTTGAGGCATTAAGAAAGGCATTCCTCCGTGGAGGTAGCTCCGTGGTGTCTTTGTTACTCCTCATGTGATGAACACACAGTCTGCTGCATATGTGCAGTGGTGCTGAGTTCTTCAGACTCACAGTGTTTGTTCTTTATTGACATATTTCTCTTAATCTTATCATTTAATTAAGTTTATGAGGTAGAGCTTTCAATCAGCAGCAGTATGTCTGTTTGAAATGGATCTAAGCCACACCTGATGTCTTTGCTCAAGTCTCTATATGCAAATGAACAGCAATCACCAAGTTCTCTCCTAAATTTTTCTAAAGGTGATTCTTAAATTGCTGAGTTTGTAAAGGAAACTGGAAAAAAAGAATTCCTTAGTTAATTATATAATAATGTAAACAGTATATGTCCAAAGATATTTGTGTACCGGTAAACAGGTTTTTTTTATGCTAATTAGATTCTCTGCTCATGGAAAGTATATTAGAATATTTTTATAATAAAACAAGATGTCAGTTTGAGGCAGTTTTCAAGAGGCAGCTGATCTGCTGGCATTATGTCCAGCAGGATAACTCAGTGTGGGCTGAGAGCTCTCACCGCTCTAATTACAAGAGTTACAGAATATTCAGAGTTGGGTGGGACCCAGCAGGGTCATTAAGCCCAGCTCTTAGGGAGGTGGCCCTTAGAGGGATGGAACCCACAACCCTGGCATTGTCAGCCCACCTTAAACCACAACCCCCCGTCCTTCCCTGGCCACTGAACAAAGGTGGCAGTCAGTCTGCTCTCCCAGGGAGATGGTGAGGAGCTCCAGAAAGTCCAGGATAAGTAACTGTCCTTTTCTATGGATTTATCTTTTCTAGTTGTTTGAGGCTCATATTTACAAAATATCAGATTGAGGTGAGGTGCTGCTCAGTGATGAGCCACCAGATGCTTTCTTCCATCTCGTGTCGCTTGTGGCCATGCTGTAACCTTTGTAGATGGTCCTTTACTGCTTGGCCTGGCTATTTTTGTAAAATTTGAGTGCAGTTAATGATCTTGAACAACTCCATCTTCCAGTCCAATTTGTTTAAGAAATTTACAACATTTTGGTGGACCCGTACAGAAGCAGACAAAAAGTTTATTTGCATACGAAATATAGATATTTCGACTGGAAGAAAGCTTCTTGCCTGAATAAGTGGTATTCCATCCTCATTTTTCCCTTTTTCCTTACTGGAAGGAGCTCTTTTGTCTTTCTGGGGAGGGAAAAAATTATTTAAGAAAAGCCTTCTCTTTAACTGTGCACTAATTGTGATGTATTGCTCTGTATCTTTGACAGTTCTGGGTTTCTCCAGAGCACAGAAAACATGGAGGAACACAGTTTACAAACATGTATTTTCAGCCTTACCATGGGGGGGCTGCACATTCCAGCTGGCAGCACATTAGCTTCTCATTTGAAAACCATGAGCTGTGTTCCAGCTCAGTTCTTAATTAACTGCATATCCTGACATCAGTTATCTCAGATTTCCTTCATATAATCTAATCCAACGAAAAGGCATTTCTCTAAATTTGGGTCTAGATCCCCTACAGTTCTCCTTCTGAACTCTACCTGAGTTTAAAGTAGTTTGGGGGGGTTGGTTTGTTTGTTTTTGTGTAGTGAGATATATATATATAGTAGGATTATAATTTTTTGGTCTTCACATGAAGAATCTTCCAAGTGCTAAGGGTGTATAACAACTAATTAAGGGACTGGAAAGGGGCCATTTTTTTTTTTTAATCGGAATTCCAGCTGATCTTGGATTTGGCACAACAGATATGTTGGATGTCTGGGATCTGGATGTGTCCTCACTGAAGGAGCCCAGGTTTGGCCTGGGGGGTCCCTTGACAGGAATTCAGCAGGACTCTTGGCTGGGTCCTCCTGTACCTGGCTCGCCTGAAATCCTTTCATTAGTCTTTCACACGTGTCAGCAATTAATTCACAGCCCTACTAAACCCTGTTGATGTTTTAGAGAAATGTGTATTTGTGCCTGATATTTTTGAAAAGAGTTCCAAGTGAAAACATTTAGAAAATATTATCCCAAAAGTGTGCCAAGACAAAGCAACCTTGCATTTTCTGCTTTGTGAGGAGCTGACTGTGTGAATTGGAACTTGCCACAGTGCTCCAGTTTGTACAGCTCACATCTGAGATAATTTCCCAGTTTAAAATTAATCTGAAACTATTTTTTGGACTTCTTGAGAATTTTACAGTGTGGTCATTTTTGCTTAAATTACTCAAAATGTGAATTTTTTTCTTTAAAAATTTAATCTTTTGGAATTAATCTTGGAAGTTTCAAAAAAATGTTTTAAACAGCTATCAAATTCAAAATATTCAAGATCAAAGCAATTCTTATTTTGCACACATTGGGGGTTGTTATGAAGTTCTTCATTTCCATTAAATGATCCTATATTTTCTTCAGTCAATGCTATTTAACTATTCCAGTAATTAATTAAACCAAAGAACGGTTCCTACTGTGAGTCTTGCCTGCATGCTTTTAAGTCCATATATCAGAGGTGAGGATATGCTTGTAAAGTCTGGCATTTAATTAAGTTGTTTTGATCTTTTGTTCTCCTTTTTGCACATATTAATTATTATACCTATGAAGTCTGATTCCATTGTTTGAGGTGTGTTGATGTTTTCATAATATAACAAGGCTTTGTTTCTTGTGTGCTGGAGTTATTGTGTAACTGTGATCACAAGATCCCCAGAGCTCTGTAACACACAAGAAAAATATACTCATGACCTGAGTTTACAGTCCTGATTATTTTCCATGTAGGGTGAATGTCAATAATTTGAATATGTGGATTGATTTCCTTTTTAATGAGTACATTTGTTATAATGGGACTAAGTTCAAAGCTTAGAGAAGGGAAACACTTTTAAAAGCAAGAAAGGGTTGAGCCCTACTTTTTACTGTGTGGGATTTTTAACAATGAGTTTGCCCAGTTCCTTTCAGCAGGATTAACTCATAAATTAATACAGTCATTTGAAAGAAATGTCCATATTTTTCTATAAATAAATCTGCATCTGAAAACTCTCTCCTACAAAGAAAGTTCACGCACACTGAGTGCAATTGTAATTTGAACCTTCTGGTAATCTTGGTTTTGTTTTTTTCTTTCCTACTTCCCTAGACCAGACTGGATCCCTCCCTGCCAGAACCTGTTTGGAATGAATGACAGCAAAGAGGGCAAAGACCTGCTGACAGATGTCTCTAAAAAAGACTATGGAAAGGAAGTTTCTTAGGAAATGGGAAATTTTAATCCAAATTGATAGAAACAAAAGACTACTGCATTAAGCAGCATAATCAGTGATTACACTGACTTTAGCAATGAATTACCACTTCATTGAACTGTTCAAAACCATTGGATGTTTTGCTGAATGCTTTCTAAGATGGAGCATTCTCTGAGGTGACTTTTGTTGGCCTTTAGCTGTCTGCACCAGGGACTAGGACAGTACAGAGACAGGTCAGAATATGTGAATATGGAGTGAGGAAATGGCTTGAGAATGTTGTACTTTGATCCATATTAACTCTTCAGTACCTTGCAGGTTCCCAGTTATGTCCCTATTTCCTCACCTGTATGTGCCCAGTTCAGACCTTATTTCCTAAAGGGGAAGGGAAGGACACAGGAAGGTAGAAAATGGCTCTGAAATGCCTGTAACCCTCAAGTCCAAAGTCTGAATCTCCATCTGTCCTTCATGGAAATGGTTCTGTTTCTTTCACAAGGTCTTGCCTAAATAACCAAAGGATCTGCTC